CGTTTTTTTTTTCGATTAACTCCTTTCAAAAAAAAATAAGCGTCATAAATTCGCAATATAACAGATATCAAATCGTAATTTTTTTGGTTAAAAACTTTTAAACAAAACTACGCGAATCATTTGTGCTGCTGACATGCTCAATTTCCTGAACTGAAGCTTATCTTCTGGATACTTTATCTAGAATTCCAACCATTGGATCTATAATTATAGATATTTTATGTTTATTTTTTGCTGCTGATTTTTCGGCTTCGTGATGTCGGCTTAACCTTTCTCGGTTTAGATTTTGAATTTTGTATACCATCGTGTACACCCTGCGTGTATGGCACTCGTGGATCCTATATGGGCGATACATGCATTTTTTCCAATGAGATTGTTATGGCAAACATTTTTCGTTGACTTTCAGCCTATTGCGTGTTGGCTTTTCATCTTATATATAACTTCCTAAAATCTCCTGTGTTATTTTTGTGATCAATAAGACTATGAAAAAAGAAACGATTGCTCAAAGTCAACCCCGGAAGAAGCTTCTCGTTTTTCTAGTTCCTTCTTCAGTGGTAAAGTCTTTCGAAATTCTCTTAGCTACTTCTATTTTTTTGCTTAGAGATGAGGATCTATAACTTTGCTTACTAGTGCTATATTATCTGTTCATCTTTTAAAATCAGTGCTAGTAATTTGAACTCAGTGTCGATAGTAAGGCAAAATTTAATTACACTGAAAATATATAAACTAATTTTATCGAATTTTAATGATACCACAATTGAATCTACGAGGTTTTGATATTAAATTGAAGCATTCCAGCCGACTTTATCATCAATTTTTTCAACAATTTATGATGATCGAAATTGTTGTCTGCCTCGGGCCAACGTTGGGCACAAGGCTCTTTAAATTTTGACCCTAGATAAACAAGTGAAGCCATAGTTATCTAAGTTGATAATGTAAATGTTATAAAAATTTATCCAGTTCAAATGTGCGAAAAATTTTCATGGTTTTAAAGTATTTTGGAACTTTTTTTTATAATTCAAGGTTCTCATTATTGCTAATTTTTTCATTACACATTTAAAGCTCCTTTGGTCAAACAACGAAAAAATTTTACATCTTTGTTCAGGCTGATTTTTCAGTCTCCCTACATTTCATGGTTTCTTAAAATATTGAAGCCGATGGTTTTGCAGAATGTAAAAAAGAGTCGCCGCCATACATTTCACAACGCTGAGCTGTTTTTGTTCGTGTATTTTTCGCAGCGTGCCATTTTTTCACGACAAAATTTTTTTATGCTGAACAAACTCATTACAAGCATTTAAGCTTTTTAGAGTGAATCTCTTCATACCAGACGAATGTTGAGTCTTCATTCCACAAAAAGTTGCATTGTTTTGAACTCTTGTTTATTGATTTTACAGAACTCACAATTTCTTTTTGCGTTTGATTTAAAAATTTCTCTAACAATTACAGTATTTTCAAATGGTGATGTATATTTATTGCGCATAGAACATCTATATCTAGTAATTCTTGTGTTTTTCCGAATGTCGACAAAAATTAAAGAATAAAATGCTCAAAATGAGAGAAACAAAAATCGGAACCTTTTGAATGCTGCCGATAGTCTAGGCAAAATAAACCGTAGCACGTGATCGTTGGATCCTTAAATGTTTTCATGCTCCAGGGGAGGTTATACTGGGGCAGGGGGTCCAAACTAACTGTGCTCAAAATTAATCTTTCAGCAGTATGAACGGATCTGCTTCCAAGTGCTTATTTTATAATAGTTTTCACATGGTAAGAAAGATGAATCCCCTGTACACGCAAATCAAGTGAATGCGTCAACAAATGAGTTAATGCGGTTCTTGGTTTTCCCAACTTTCTTGAACAAGTTTTGAAATTGCTAATTATGTTTTATTTTCAACACTAGAAAATAATTTCATGTTTTTTCAATCTGTCTTGAAACCTTCATCTCTGAAAAATGGAACTTAAGTCTCTAATTGATGATAAAAGATTTTGATAATTATTTTTAAAATGGACAAATTTGAGTTGGGTTAAACTGGTAAATTGTTAAGTGACCTTTTAAAGAGCTAATGCAACTGTAACTCAATCACAGTAGCAGTTTCATTAGCAACCATAACTTTTTCAACTATTTCGTAGTAGCCTTTCAGGAAAAATTACTCTAATATTTGTTTTTCGTGTTTTGACAATTGAACTGAACTTACTTTCATTTGTGCACTCATAGGCTGAAATAGCATATCGATAGAACGAAGTTTGCATTCTGTACGGCAGACCTTAACACTTGAGAGCAACAGAGAACTTCTAGCTCTTTAATGCATGATACCTGGGAAAAATTGATTTTTTTTTTTTTTTTACTGTTATATATTAACGCTTGATAGACATCCTTCTTGTTACATGGGATAAATCTTGATTTAGTTGCCCATCTCTTGAGCTACTAATGATAGTTGCATCATCAGCAAAACTGATAGGTTAAGGTTTCTTGCACATCCCAGGCAAATCATTTATAGGATAAGAAACATCGATGGGCCAAGCACTGATCGATGAGTTATGCTTAATTTCTCTGATCGATGAGTTAAATTCTCCTAAGCTGACATTTTGTGTTTGGTCAGCCAAATAATTTTTCATAACTTCTCGAGGTACCTGAATCCTAAATGTTTCTTGAGATACCTAATTTGGATGTAAAAACCATTTCACGACTTAGTTCCTTCCCACCCCTCTCGAATTGTGGTCAGAACAATAATGCTGAATGCAAAATTAACTGGAGATTTCACGCTATATGCATGCAATTGGAAGTTGAGGTACTTATAAGCTAGACCAATTTTCAAACCTCCATCATAAAAATCTCGGGTAAAATGAACGTTTTGTACTTTCCTACGTTTTGAAAACAAGGCATCAAAAATTTAAGTATAGTTCAAAAGGAAAATTAGAAGACGATTAACTCGGTCATCATAAAAAAGATCAACAGATCCTGAGATCCGTTTTTTCTTAAATTTTCGGAACAATTATCTTGCCTCTATTCATTTTTGCATGATCTTGAAACTTAGTTCTACGCTGCTTAAGGCAGTTTCTCCAGAAAGGTTGAAATAAAACACGCTTAAGTTTGTTCATTCTGAGCATTTCTGTTAAGTCATACTACGAAAACGAGGAATCATTGTGCAAGGTTGAATTACTCTGCAAACAAATTTTAATCATCCAAATAGCTCTTTTCGCTGATTTTTTCTTACCACGTCTATGGATTACTTGATTTCAGCTATCAACATTTTACATTTTCGTTCACGGTTAAATTTAGATGAGACAAGCTGAATGGCAGAGCGGATTATTCAGATTTTGTCCTAGGATTCGAGAGCCTTCTAAGACTTAGAATTATGCCTTCGATGCATCAACTTGGTAAGAAATGCCGTCGAAAATTATTATTCCGTTAAAATGCCATCAAACGAATTGAATAAAAATTTATAGCAAATGAAATACGCATCACTTTTATATGAAATCAGAACAATAATTTGACCATTTTTACCGCATTCGAGTTTCAGACTTAACTAATAAAAAACTCAATTACTTTAGCAATCCCTGGTTCTGTATTACTAATTTGCTTTTTCCTACGTATATATACCTTTTAATCCAGCTCGATGCATTTGAATAAGAAACGATTCATTCGATAATTTAATTTATTTTTTTTTGATATTGTCTGAAATGTATCAGTGTACTGAGCTCGAAGTTACCGCCTGTGATGATCTTGGAAAATTTTTGGTTTCGAAATTTGCTAATTTGGTATAAAATACGATGCTTTACCTATCAAATTTCTAATCACTCATAGCTTAGGTTGCGAATTTATCCCGTAAAAATTAGTACAAATTGAATTAAAGCAAACTATTTGGGGTTTTTATTGCGTTCATAGACGAAAAACATCGCTTCTGTTTTCATTGGGTGTTAGAAATATTGAAAAATATTTCAAAAATCGCTTCAAGTTTTTCATTAGTTTCAACAAGGTTTTATATTCCGGACGAAATTTTTTAACGTTCGATAGCAAGTTACTTGTAATCGGTATCTAGACGTTTTCCTGTAAAAAAAATTTGCTTACAGCTTTGTAAGAAATTGGACTTGCTTTATTAGGGAACCTCAACAACTTGCAGACTCATTCCTACTTGGTCTAGTAATAAGGCGCGTGCTTTTGGATCAAAGGTATGGTGTTCGAATTCCGATTAGACCTTGGGTTTTTGCCATGTATTAAGTAAACCTGTTGTCTGGGAAAACTTGAACCGTCGGACAATCGTTTATCTGCATTTTTTTTGTAATTTTAATTTTGAAAGCATTGAGATTTTTTTTAGTCAAAATTTTTTGTTTAACTTTTGTTATTGTTTGTTGTTATAATAATCATAATATTAAGTCTTTTCGTAATTTGTAATTTTACCAACTCTGATTTTGAGTAAAATATTTTCAATTTTTTTTTGCTGAAATGGTTTCATGGTTTTTTCTACATTGCTTTTGTCATCTAATATATCGTAAAAAGCTTTACCTAACGAAAAATTTAAACTTTCATTTGAAATTTAAAACTAGAGTTTTATGCTTTCATAAGTTTGAGTGCTTATACATTTAATTTTTTATGACGGTATTGAAATTTCTGATTGTTGTTTTCGGCTCAACGGGTGTCAACTTACGATTTATCGGCCAAGAAGCCGCTTGGCAAACAAAACTGACTGCTGCTACATTGCTGTTGTTTGCATTTATCGACTGCGTGCTTCTGAAATTGAATATCAGCCGAGCCAATCTTGTGAAATTTCAAAATTTTTTCCAATATTTTCATGTTTGTGGAGTAAAAATTTGTCGCTATGTAAAATTTTGGCTGATTTGAATATTTCTGACTAAAATTTTGAGGGTGAGGAAACCTTATCAGTTTGAGAGTTTTTGAGTGCGAGGAAACTTTATTAATCCCAAAAAACCAAAGATGTTGCATGTAGTTTTTCATAATTGGCACGGCCGCCGATATCTACACAGAGCAGAACAAATCGAATGTTATCCTTATCTTTAAGAATGAATGTTCGTTTTCAGATTGAGTATTGTTGATAAAATGCCGTTATATTTGGGTAATTTGATATTGCTAATTCAACACATTTGATCGAGCAAAGAAAAAAGTTCCTGAGCTTCAATGATTTGAAAAATTCTTTTTAATCAGTTTATTGATTATCAACCATTCATTTGATTTTTAGTTATACCTTTATTTTTCAAGTAAACTCATAAAGCTTAGGGATATTGTGCAATAGAAACATCCATTACTTAAACTGAAATCACAATAAATATCATAAGAGGCGTGTCGAGCAGTCATGCAATTCAAGAACAACAATTCAAAGTAAGTTAAATTATAGTTATTCCTAATTTAGTTTGATAGTTTGTTATTATCTTGTGTTTACTAAACATTGCTCTGTAAATGAAGGATCTAAACCATTGTAAAACTTTTAATTGAAGCCTCAAAACCGATTAACTTCTCAGATTGGAATGTTATGATCGTTATTAATTAATCTCTACCGATTTTTTTCTATTTAATTCTTCAGTACAACATTTCAACGGATAACTTGATTTTGAACAACAGAATGCTTAGAGGAGGTCAAATCAACTAAGTTACATAAATGGCAAAGTAACCGCGACCGCTACAGTTACGTAATATCCATCGCCATTGCGTAATCATTGCATGTCTGTCAGTTGTGATTGAAGGAGAGGTTATCCTTACAATTTCGAAACATATCCCTGTTAACTACTCTTACTTGAACTTCAGTCTCGTCACAAATTGTATAACACCATAAATTTACGATTACCTCAAGTAGTTCAACCGGAAGTACAGGTAAAGCAGAAAGTTTAAATAATCCATCAAATGATGAACGTTTGATTTGAAAATTTTTGGGAAACCGAATTCGTTTTAGCTTACTTCTTTGCTGATTTATCTCAAAAACAGCTGAAATTATCTAAATTTAATTTTATTGGGTATCCGATTTTCAAAATTAATTACATCCCAATAGTTACATAGTTACTAGCTTACCACACGACTCAGCCGAGAGTTACTTAACAGTATGTTTGACCTTGACGGGGACGCGGCGAACAGTGCTCAGGTGGTGTCGTCCCCAAGCAGATTCCCAGACTCGGTTACCACATGTCTCACTATTCCATCACATCTCATCAACTCACAGGGAACTGAAAAAGACCGACAGACCAGCTATAATGGTAAGTGATCATCTTTTGTCACCTTTTATGCATCATATATTACAATATGTGGCAGATTCAAATTAAATAACTGGATCGCTCTTTGTTATACTCCGAACATTATTTGAAATTTGTCTTAAAACCAAAATGATGAAAAAAAAGAATCATAGAATTTCAATTTTGAAATAAATTTCATCTGACAGAGTGTATTTACAGAAAACAATTCTTCTACAATTGACTGAAAAATTAATTGAATTTTGTATGCAGTATCCGGCTCATAAATATTCCATGCATTACTCTAATGTTGCCACCTATTTACCCTTGCGATAAGCAAGGGTATTGCAATCGGGTAATAGACTGTTTTCTGTAAAAAAAACTTTGTTCACAGGAATCTTTTCAGCTTGACTCATTTCCTGGAAGCCTCTATTAGCAAAAAATTTAGCGCTACAGATATATGTTGTGCTTGTTGGTATTTTAAATATCTCAATTTCGAATTTTTCTTTTTTTTTTGGCTTGATAGACTTCGGCCTATATTATATCGGCTTAGTGGCTTCATTTTAAAAACTAATGGGCGAATAAGTTTTCCTGTGTGTGTGTGTCTTGAGAGTGTGGTAAAGTTTTTTTTTCGATGTTAATTTTACATTCTATTGTCTTGTCGTTTTGTATTGTCTTCTGTTATCTCAATTTTTACTCTTTAGAGAGCAAGTGGCTTGTAATCGGGGACGACTTATTTTTCTGTTATAGATTTTCTTACAAACCTGTAAGAATTTTTTCGGCTGAACTTTCTGGGTGGCCTAATGGCGCATTGAGCTTTCATGCATTCTAAATAACCGTTTCAACATTTCACCCTTGTTTTTTTTTCTGCATAAAATGTTTATTCGGCTTAAAACATTCGTATAATCTTAAATTTCGGCTTTCGATTTTTTTCTTACTCAATGTTTATAATGTTTTTCGGCTCAATGGGCATGTTATCCAAGTTAGTTGACCTAATCAACGATTCTTAAACCTCGTTTTAAAAAGCTAATCTACTGCTGGCAGTTGTCTTTTTCTACATGTTTTTACTAAAAGCGAACTTCATTTGAGACAAAAGTTTGAAAGTTTTAGTGTATGTATTTTAGGTATTTTTACAAACCATGCTGTTTTTTGAAACCTTGCTGTTCTTAAAAAAATTAAAGATACCGGCAAACACTGATTGACGCGCAATATCACCCGTGCCGAATATCAGCGCAGCTGAGCAAGTGTTTGCTAATTACCAATCCTGCGAGAATACTGACCGTGATTCTTCTAAAAGATATACTAAAACGTTTTTTGAGCAATATATTTTGGGTCTTTTTGGTTATATCCCCTAATTGATGAAAAAAGAAAAATTGTTCAAGTTAAACCTAGTGCCAACAGTTTTTCCAACGTGAACAGAGTTCGTCAAAACAGCAACAAAAAATTAAATAAACATATTTAAACCGTTTTCTAGAAAATTATATCTTGGATAATAGGGCGGTTCCAGATTTCTGTATTGTTTGAAAGTTCAAGGTGATGAAAGTATATAGTTAAATTGTTACTTTCTCGAAGAAAGTTTTTCTTTCGATTTCTGTAACTTGATTAAGAAATTTGAATTTTTGAGCAGCAACATCTTGCTATGCATTTTTTTCTGCTTGAGGCGTTTGAAAACAGTGGTGTTTTGCATGTTTAAATCCCCCATTAAATTCCCCTTGTGTTTAAATCTTCCCCTTTAAATCGCCTTTTGCGTGTTCCAGCTGCGTTCCTGACTGACATCGACTCGAACAACAGCTACAGTGTGCCTTGGCTGCTGAATGCGGTGAGGGGCAAGCCTCTGTTGGTCTCCCTCGTGGGACTACCCGGCAGGGGAAAGACAATCATAGCACACAAGCTTCACCGCTTCCTCCTATGGAACAAAATCAGATGCGAGGTACCGCTACCGACATACTGGCAGTAATTTGTATCGCCAAACCAAGAAAAAAATTTTTCATTTTAAGTTGAACAGAAGCAAAAGCAGAACTTATTGAATTAAAAAAGGTATTTTGGGCTCTTTGAAATAATTGACGATTTTTCGGATACGATGTCTGACGATTGACTACGTTCACAGGTGTTTCACTTAAGCTACTATCGACGTCAAATGGCACCCGACTTTCCCGAACACGTGATCAACCAGCCCCTAAAATCGAACGAGGAACCACTTCGTGCTGAGTGCTTCAAAATGCTGTTTGAAGACATCGACCTGTTCTTCTCAGAGGGGCTGAAACATGTGGCTTGCATGAATGATACCGGCATTGCAGGTGGGAGCAGCACTTCGACTCTGAAGGAGTTCGGCGGCAAAACTAGTGTGGGATCTGAAGACATGCCTTTCTTGCAGCAAGTGAGAGGAAACGTGGCCATCTTTGACTTCGCCAATTCACGAAAGTTAGTATACATTCTTAATGATGAAGTTTCCTTAACATCATTTCTGTTGGGTTTCTATTTACTTCAAGTGCGAAAAAGGACGAAGTTGATATTCCGCCTCTATCCCTCCCAAAGGTGTTAAGGGAAAGGATGATAACTTGGTTAACGAAAGCTAGCGCTTTTATAGGTTTTCATTTTTTCCAACCTAAGTTGCGTATTTCTGCCTTAAATTTCTGCGTTGGTTTTTATTGCAGTGTATATGCAAACTTATGTAATTTTTCCGACTCTCGGAAAAAGTGACGGAATATTTGTATTAGTGCTCCCAGTAGTTTTTCTTTCTTCAACAACTTTTAAATTGTCGCTTTCAAAGTTTTTTTTTGTTTGTTCAATATAAAGTATACGGTAAATTGTTGTTGCTGAAAATTTGGAAAAGAGCAATAATTAGAGTTTGAGTAATTGCAAAGGAAAAGGTAAATCAAAAACAGTGCAAAAAATATCAAAACTTTTAAGACCAAAACGATGTTTTAGGACAGCTTTTTTGAAAGTTTTAATTATATTTATTTTTTTCAGATCATACAGGCGCGAGCTAGTTGAGTTTTGCCACTCGAGAGACTACGATCTGTGTTTCCTGGAGAGCATCACAGATGACCTCAACCTCATCCAGCTGTACATAGCAGGGATTGAACAGTCGAACCCTGACTATCTCAATATGAGCAGAGAGGCTGCGGTGGTGAAGTTTGAGAACCACTTTAGAGACTACGCAGATTCTTACGAGCAGTTAGACGAACAAGTAGGCTTCATATTCTATAATTCATTTTTTGTTGTTATAAGCGCCAATTGTTGTTTCAACTATTGAAAATGGGGAGGAGCTTAGTATTCGGGTGTTTTAATTTTTTTCTTTTTCCATGCAAAATCAGCTACCACAAATACTTGTCGGAGTAGGTATAATCATCGGAGTAGATCCTATTGAAGCACATTCAGTCATGATTCGAACATTTAAAAAAGTTTTCAGTATTGAGAAAAACCGGTTTTTGTTTTTTTTTTTCGTTTAATTTCGAGCTAGTAACGCTCGTTATAAGGAAATTTACTGTTTTTTTTTTCAGACTTTTACTATAAAAAATTTGATTTTTATTTTAAAAAAAATAGATTTTTTTTTCCATTTTTTTGTTTGTTTTTTTTTTTTTGAAGCCATTTGTTGATGATTTTTTTGAAGCCTAATTCACTAATTTTCTACGCAATCCTTTAGTTCTCGATGCACACCACCCACTAAAACCGACACTAGATTGAAGAAAATTAAAAATAATTTTTTTTTTCAGTTTTTTATGAATAAAGGTGGAAGTGCATCGTGTGTGCAAGCCCGAGTGCGCGAAACGTCTGTTAGCCAATCAGAATTCAATGTTCATAAATTCGAAGGAAATTGCGAAAAAATCAGTCAGTTTAGGAAAGGTTAAAGGGCATTGATTGGTTGAGTATTTTCACGTACTCGGTCCCTAGCGCATGAAAATGGGCCCCAATTTATCGATGTAATAATTGCACTATTAGTTTGTGTTTTAGTCGGAGAACGACCTCGCCTTCCTGAAGATCTTCGACGGGGGAGTGAGGTTCAGAGTTCACAATATGAATGGCTACATGCAGAGCAAGATGGTGTACTACTTGATGAGTCTGCACTTTGCAAGACAGCCCATCTACATCACCAGACACGGGGAGGCTCTCAACAATACACTGGGCATAGTGGGAGGAGACAGTGAGCTCACAGCCAGAGGTTAATTATAATAAAAACAAGGACAGCCGGCTGCTGTGCAAGTAGCAGAGAAAGTTCCCGTAACAATAATTTAAAAAAAAAACTAAAAAAATATTTATATTTTTTTCAATTTGAGTCGTAATTTGTCCTTGTGTGATGAAATGCTATCAAACGAACTATTCGTGGTTAAAATATATTAGGCAAATTGGATTCCATAATTGTTTCCAAAATTGGATTCCAAGATGGTTCTTATCATTAATTCTGCCTGTTGCAACTTTTTCGTGATAAGTCATCTGCTTCTCAGGTGTGAAGTACGCGGACGCATTTGCAGACTTCATCAACAACCTTCCGGAGATGAAACAATTCCAAGAAAGTGGATCCTGCTGTGATGGACCAGGCCTGCAGGTGGGTCACACATCGACATCACATCATTCGAGACATTATTTTTCGAAATGCTCCGTTTTTTTAATGTCCTCTGCTCCTTCTGGCCAAATTAATTTATTATTTGGACAGTAAATTGAGCCTTAAAATAGCTGTACAATTCGTGTCTGTACAAAACAGTCCCATACAAAACAGTCCGAAAGTTCGTAGCAAAGTACAAAAAAAAACAGTCCCATACAAAACAGTCCCAAAAATAGTCCCATTGATCGAAGTGATAATTGTTCCAGAAGCTGATAAGTAAATTTATCTCAAATTAAACACATTTTGATTCCAACTAATCGGGATAACAATAGTTAGTATAGCAGAGAAATTAGAACAACCAAGATAACAGCAGCGGCCACTCATTAAAAGCAAAAATATGCGAAACATTTAAGTTAACGCAATTACAAAAATGGACTCTTTTTTTAATCCATGCAAAAGAGACAAGCTGTTCAAGCTGTTTCTTTTGCAAACACTTGGCAACACTCAATAGAAACGAAAGTCACTAACTAACGGTGGAAATCATAATTACAGACAAAAATTCTGAGTTACTGATTTTTGAAGGGTACGCTTATATTAAGCACCGAACACTGACAGACAACTCCCTTTCGTGGCGCTGCGCACAAAGTAGTTGCAATGGCCGTGTGTGTACAAAAGAGGACTCCGTTGAGATCGTTAAAGATCACTGCCACTTCCCCGATCCAGTTGACATCGAAAAACGTAAGTTCAGAAAAACACTTAAAGATCGAGCAGCAGTATCTGATGTAACACCGCGGCAGACTATTTTCGCAGCCCAACGTGACGTGAACCGAGAAACATCTGTTCATTTACCTAGTTATTCTGCTAATCAGCAAGCCGTAAATAGAGTTCGACGCGAAAAAAGACCAAAGATGGCAGAGCCAACATCGCTGACTGGCTTTGAACTACCACTGGCTCTACAGAAAACCCACGATGGAGAGCAGTTCCTTCTTCACGATTCTGATCCTTAAGGTGAAAATCGGGTTATTGTGTTCGCCACATTACCTGGTTTATACCTTCTATCTTTATCGGGTATGTGATATAGAGCCCAGATTTGATATAGAGCAATGGAGTTGCAATCACTGAGTAAAAAACTACCTTCCCCGCACAAACAACGCTGTAGAAGGATGGAACAGCAATTTCGTGAAACTGGTCAATAGCAAGCATCCATCATTTCCAAAACTGATCGCGAACTTCCAGGACGAGCGAAAAAAAGCGGAAATATTGTTGGAAAAAATGTGCGAAGGACAAATAGCAGCCACACCCAAAAAAACTAAATACCAAAAACTCGACAAAACTTAATCACTATGATTAAGTCATATCAACCCAATGATATCATTGGGTTTTTGAAAGGATGTAGTTATAATATTAAATTATAATCAAAAGTTTCTTTTGTTTTCAAGTTTCACATTTATTCTACACTGCCAAGCAATAAAAAAAAATTTCCAGTTTAATTAGTTCCCTTGATTTTTGAAAATTGAGCTAGAGTCGATTTGAAACCGGAAAAGTAATGAATACATACAAGGTGTTGATTTTTCTTCTCCCTCCGCCCAACCCTCTAAGGTTGAACCCTTTGTTGTACCCTAGATATACCCGTTATCATATTTACCCGAATTTCAAACTTTTTTCGGAAAATTGGAAAAAATTTTGTGCCGCCAGGGATTCAATCCTTTGATCTCTAGATTTTGAGACTAACGCTTTAACCACTATACCATGAGTCCTTTGATTGTCTTCCGAATTTTTGTTCCAATTTTGGCTCTTTAATTACGACCATGTTTGAGTTTTCAAAGCGTAGATTAATTCTGTCGGCGCCAAAATATCAAGGTCAAGAAATTCAAATGGTTTTGAACTGTTTTGTATGGGGCTGTTTTTTAGAACCTTTTTTTGATGTTTGGGACTTTTTTGAATGGGACTGTTTTGTATATGCACCGTACAGTTAAGTTTCTGAACCGTCTTTGCATGTCTTGAAAGTCGTTCACGCTTATTTGTTTTTTTTGCGACTCCATTTTTGGTTTATTTTTAAGTTCAAGTCAATCGGCCGAGAGGAATAAATTTTTTATCTATTGATACAGTTTTCTTTTAAAATGCTGAAAACAAAATCAGTCGTTTTTTATTTTTCTTGAGATCATTGGCCCTTTTCCAACTGTCTGTTGGTTATGCTATTTTTTTCCAGGTGTGGGCGAGTGTGTTGAAGCGTGCACAGCAGACTGCCGCCAGACTGAAGAGTCCGGTTCTGTGTTGGAATGCCCTGAGGGAACTAGACGCGGGCGTGTTCGATGGGAAGACTTACGACTTCATAGAGGCCAAGTTTCCCCAGGAGGCCGCCAACCGCAGATTTGACAAGTTCAAGTGAGTCTCTGTCAGATCGGAGACGTTGATCATAATTACTCTCACCAACAAGTCAGTGGACACTAATTTAATTAAGGTTTTCATGCACAATTTTCATGTCGCGTTAGGTTATCATAGGTAATTTTGAAGAATTTAATTTAATTTCTGATTTTTCATGATTTCGCAAAATATATTTGCGGTGTTTTAAACAACTTTGGCATGGCTTTCTTTGCATTTTGATACTTTTAAAAGGTCATCTTTGAAGTCGATTATAACAAATTTAGTTGCTTAAAATTGTAGTTAACTTGAAAAATAATGAAATTTGAGGAAGATATTTCCCATACAGGTATCGTTATCCGGACGGGGAGTCTTACGATGATCTGGTGACGAGACTGGAGCCAGTGATCATGGAACTGGAACGGACCAGATCCACCATCGTCATAGTATGTCACCAAGCTGTCATGAGGTAATGCGATGCTTGATTAAATTTACAGAACAACAAACTCATCTTTGTATGAAAAAAGTTGAGCCTTGAATTTTCAAAAAAGTGTTTTAAAAACAAGTTAAGAAGAGCACCCTAACCGCACTTGACTTCTCAGAGAGCTAACAAACACACCACTAGAACTTGAAATAACGAAAGAGCTGGTTTTCTTAAGACAGACTGGAAAATATATCAGAAAGTGATTTCTCCGAGGAATTTATGGGATTTAGTAGCTTCGTTCATAAAAGTATATCACCTGATGTTGCTCAAGTCTTAGCTGTTATAATCATTTGATTTTTTTAAGAATCTGAGTATCAAGATTGCGTCGAAGTCGAAACTGGAAATTTCCTACTGATTTTAATGTACAAAAAAGATCAAGAGCTACCGACAATGTTCAATGTTGTGAGGAAGTTTGTTGTAGACAAACTCGTGAAAGCTAAACTTGACTTCTTTCTCGCATTGATAAAATTTTTGAGCACTTTCTCATATTTTTAAGAAGACAACCACTGTTGTCTTTCGTGAGCCTGAATATTAGAGAAAAATAAGCAACAACACAAAAAAATCGCTGCGACAAATTACTGTAAGCGGTTTAAAACATTGCTCGATTTCGACGTGTTAGCTGCTTTTTGTGTCAACAACCAGTTTTCTGATATTGCGGCGGAAACTGCTCAGCGGTAGCTTTTTAGAATTTTTTCGAATATGTGACTTGCTTGATGACAGGTTTTGACGTGGTTGGTGATTGACTTGATAATCTCTATCTGAAGCTGATTGATTCAAAGTATCCTCAGTTGCTTTCAGCTGTGATCAGACTACTATTTCAGATCATGGGACGGCAAATTTTGAGTTGTTTTTCAATAACCAAGATGACGATCGACGTTAACCAGAAGCTCGACACACTAATTGTATTAAAAGTGTAAAGATGGTTTGAAACCTTATGGTGGGGTTTTAAAGTTTGACCTATCAAAAGGAGTGTTAAGGGCCGTCTGATGAGCCCGATTGTGGTATGAAAAAGATCTGAAAACATGCAGACCGAGGAAAAACCCAGAGAGAAAAGAAAAATGAAAGCTAACAGTGGTGGCCGCCAAAATAAACCGCCTCGTAGATGAAGTTAAACACTTGACTGATGTTAAACATACAAAAGGAAAAGAAACAACTGGAAAGTCATTCAAAGTGATGACTGAATCAAATATGGTTCTTGACTCTGCAAAACGCAAAGTCTGAAATGATAAGCGCGAAAGAAGACCTCGGGGAACTTCAGAAAACATTGTAATACATTATTTTGATACTTCTTTAATTCTGATAACCCTTTTTTTGCACTTCTGACTTAGAAAGTCAGGGCCTGCGCTTCAGAGCTGCCAGGTTGTCAGAAAAGTAATAGCGCGTGGCAACCCAATACCTGTCTGATATCTTCCATATTTGAAGAAAAGCTGAATTTTCCACTGAGCATCTATTTCTGATGATAACGAAATAAAGAAAAACGAAACTCTAAAAATGTACAGTTAAATGCATTTGATGTGATTTATCCAAAGAGTAATTCGCAATTGATTAAGGCTTACGTAGATATAAAAGCAATACGGTGTGTGACTCAGCTATCAATATGTATTCTGACCTCCTTTTTTCTGGTTATATAAAGTAGAGCACTACACAAATACATTTGAGGACGTAGTAGTTTTTTTTTCAGAGTTACCATGTGACTATACGTATCGTTGTCATTAAGCAAGTTAAATGTGGGTAATTAGAAATAAGCTAACTAGATCATTTCTCGTAGTCTCGAACGAATCGAAGGAAATTTTGGTATCGAAATTGATCTGAAATCGAAATGTGCAAAACCAATCATAATTGATATGAAAGGTAGCAGAGTAAATCTTGTTTTACGAATCATGTTAGAATTGATGCTGTTTTTGAAAGCTCGTTGCAAGTTATGCAGCAGCAGCTAATTAATCTTGTATCTATCTATGTTTAAGGTGTCTCATGGCCTACTTGCTGAACAGAAGCTTCGACGAATTGCCCTACTTAGATGTGCCCCTTCACCACCTGTTCAAAATAACCCCTACTGCCTATGGCTACGAAGCCGAGGACATAAATCTAAATGTACCCTCAAACGAGTATACCAACTCCAGAGAACGCAGGAAGAAGAGCTCAGTACTTGGAAAGCCTGCTAATTTTCTATGACTGTAGCTGACAACTCGAACTTGTGCTGCATTCTAAAAACGAAGCATCCAATTCAGATCCGAAGGAAGAACCGAAAACTACAACTATCGTTTACCTAATGCAAGTGCTGCAACTGTTCGAAAACACCAAGTATAATAATTTTATAAATGTCTGTTTAGTGGCTGTAATAAACAGATATAGCGCATGAACAAATATTGATTGGTTTTTAAAACAGAGGTAAATATCATGTTTTGACTATGTCTGTTTCTTACATGAACGCTCTTCTCCAAAACGATGCTTTGTTGTAGCTAGTTTTTAAATAGTTTTTCGTCCATTTGAAACGGATTTATGAGATTGTTTTGGTGTTCCTATGCTGATTTTTTTAAATTTAACTGTTTATTTTTAATTTTCAGTTCCAGTTAGCATCAGTATAGTTTTTGTCGACGGAGAATGTTACTTTCCCTGATAATGAGGTTCAACAGTGTTCGGAAATGTGCGAATGGTCAAAAAGTATGAATGGGCTATGATAGGTGAAGTTTTTTCGGTTAAGTTTTTTTTAAAGAAAGGACTCCTTTGTCTCGCTGAAATAAAAGGGAATACAATCGTTTCAACGCCCAATAGTATGTTTCAAATCCTATGTCATCGTGGATTCCAGTGACAACTAACTAGTTCACTGCGGAATCCACTAATAAAGTGTAATTTTGACTGAACATTAATGGAATTCGCTTCAACGCGTGGGTCAGTGAAATCTAAAACAATTATGACTAAGCATTTGTGCCTTTAATGCCAATTGTCTGTGTATTCCAGATAGTTTCTTGCTAATTCAAATTCAGCATATATTGCGTAGTGTTTCATCTTATGATTCTAGGTTTCTTAAAATTCTCAATTGATAGCAATACCAATGCCAGCAAACAATTGTGTCTAAGTTAGAAAAAGAGTCGATATAAAATGTTATATGAAATTGATTTCATGTGAAATTAAAACACAGATGATTTGGATTCTTTCCTTTATCGTTAGTTTACGCATTGCCCTATTTTGCTTTGGTTTATGCTGGGGCCGCAGAATGATGATAGTTTTCTCGAACTAATTAATATAAATTTACGGAACTAATTTTCCCTAACTAAAATAATTGCCGAAAGGCTAAATGCCTTGCTGTAATCCATTTAAATCAATAATTCAATTAAGAGAATCTAATCCTTTGGAAGAGGTCAAATATTGTGACTGTTTTTCTGACCGAAGGAATATTAAATATTTTGATATCTTCCAAGATTCTTTGGCAAGAACTTGCCAAGACAGCCAAGATTTTCTTTAAGATATAACCAAGATTTTTCAAAAATATCTAAGATTGATGGACTTGGAGATCTATGAAAGGCTATCAGGCCTGTCTAAGCATAGTTCGTTTTTTTTTGAATGATAAAAACAGAATAGTTTTATTATCTTGTGAAAAACAAAAGAACTTTGTTAATAATAAAGATTTATATTAATTTTAGTTTAATTTCGAGAGTTCAAAGAAAACACACTAAAACAGTTTCCAAATTTCTAGGTTTGAAAAATTATGACTTTATGACTTAGGGGAATATCACACTTCAAGTTACAAGAGTTGTGTGTTTGCAATAGTTTTCATTGTAGCAGTAATTCGGTACAAATGCAAAAAAAATGTTTTCCGAATATTTGATACTGGAAGAATAATGAAAGAAAATACTCGGATCTGCTTAACAATCGCCCTCCCTTTGGTATCTACTTAAAATTTGCCACCCCTAATATAAAAAGCAATAAATTAGCACTGAGCTTTCTATTGGGAATTAGAACCTTGCTGCATTCTGATCGGTCGAAAATGAGTTATTTTATTCTACTTAACAATTGCTCCCCTTTCTCAAAAGGGAGAAAATTGTTAAGTAGATCCAAATACTTTCATTTTCATGATAGCTCAGACATGTACAGCAGGCTCAAATCGTTTGGCTAATTTTGGACCCTTGTCTTCACAGTAATTTCTAGGGTTTCTTCCTTTTTCTGGCTCCTATAATTTCATAGAAAAGTTGCTATTGTCAGTTTACTGAAACTATCGCAGAGACACTTACGCTATTTTGTTTTATTTTATTGCAAAAAAAAATTTGTAATTATTTTTGTTGATATCAAGAAAAATTTGTAAATATAAGTGTCATAAAAATAAAACAGTTTCGAATTAATGTAAAATAATAGCTCTGGATTGCTTGCAACCCACTGCAAATTGACTTCAAATTAATTGACTAACGTCAATTTTGTTTTGTCTCCTTAATGTTGAACATATTATAACAAGTTTTCAAAATAAACTTCAAATCGAAAGGGACACTTAGATAATTTAAGTAAATAATGTTCACTGGTCATTTCAGATTTAACAAAATTAATAGAATTAGTGGTGATTCTTTCACAATCTTCGTTCAAACAAGTATAAATAATGAACGTCAAAAAATTTCAGGCATTAATTAAGGCAGGGGCGGATCTAGGATTTTCTCGAAGGGGGAGGATTTTCAAAAAAATTCAAAAATTTAGCGACCTTTTCATAGTTCTCCTCAGCACTATAAAGCCCCTATTTTAACCAAGTTTTGTGTGCCAAAGGTAAATTTTGAAAAAACAGGCCGAAAAGGCGTTTTTAGGCAACTTTTGTAAAATTTTGACCGAAAAAACGCGTTTTATCGGAACGCGCTCTCCCCCTCAAATTAGTATATATTGTTGCAAAGGTGCCTTTAAAAAATTTTTTGCAGTCCGTCACCAAAAATGGATTTCTCAAAATAGTACGAAGGGGAACCCTTTGGGCCGGCAGATGGTCGAATTCCTGAGAGGGGGGCCTCCACCCTCCCCCCTAAATCCGTTGGTGCATTAAAAAATGTATTTTGAGGGAAATTTTTGATGAGGGCAGGTAATTCTCTACTCAAATACAAATCTCTCAATAAAAATATTTCGTGCAAATTTGAATCTTAGTAAAGCTTCACCCAACAAACACTGAAAAGCAGAAGAACAACACAATTGACTAAGTGGAATTGCAGTTCTTTTTTATTTGGGTCAACTTCAGTACACTATCCGTCAACGATGGGGAAAAGTCAAGCTAAATTCGAAAAAGATACTTTTTGGCTTTTCTTCCGAAAAAGATAGCTCCAGCAAAATAACGTTCAATTTGCTCTAGATTCGTTTTTGAATGTTATAAAAAAAAGAGTTCGAATATCGTAGTTTGGCACATGATTAGCTCAAAGTATTTTAAAACCTAAGTTTTTTTCGAAATCCACATCACGGCTGAAAAAATTTTCATGAATATCTTTCTTGACAAATACGAGCTTTCTCTGAGAACGTTACACTTGCCCTGAAAACAACACGCTGTACACCATAGTCCCGTTCTTTCAATACGTGAAATGGTCGCAAAAGCATAAGTGAGTTTTTTTTTTAAAATATGCTCAAATTGATACCATCCAATTTTTCTCTGACCATTACGCAAAACTTTTTATGTAGGTGTTAATCTATTAACATTGTCAAACTAAATGTTGATTCTTTTACCAAATTGAAAGAAATACCAATTATGTGCCTTGAAACAAATGAGGTATTCAGCCCCATGATATTCTGATTTGGTTGTAGTAACTTGGTTAAATTCAAGATTTTCAATAGGTAAAGTTTGTGCGACTTCAATTTTATGTAGGAAGCCCCTAGCCTTCCCGGCCTCCTTGAAAGAGTTTAAATTTAACAGCTAATTATAGACCCTCAGTTCTCTGTCAAAGAAAATTCTTTGCCAATCAAGTTGTTCTTAAATTGATTGCTGAGTGATGTCTCCTAGTCGTGTGTCTAATTTTGCGAGGATGTTGTTGAATTTTGGATGAGAAAAGGTCATGGCTTCAAAGCTATGTCATTGACGGCGTGGCAAATGACAAAAATGTAGTCGTGTTTTCCCCACCGTTCGGTAGAATTGTCGCTCCAGCGGTTTCACTGGTGCTTCCCATTCCATCGTCTTCTCAAGTATGGCGGTTTTTACTGGATAGTCTACCATGAGATTGATTTGTCGTTGGTGAAACTGCTCAAAAAGTTCTCGTTTTCTTAATACATCAACAATCGCTGAAGTTTAATCTCACCTTGATAAGCGAAAAATGATGTGAAGCTGTCGCTTTGGCCATAATCTTCAGACGCACAATATTGAACTGGTGTCTAAACAAAGGTCATGAGTGAGTTGACTGTTTCTGAGTGCACGGTTTCCATCACAAAAACAGGTCGAGATAGCCATGTAAATTCGTTATAGAAACTTGAGTTTTTGGGTCCTTGAGTGCGAGTATAGGTACTGGTAACACAAAAACTTTTTGTTGGCTTAGATATTTCTTTAAAAATTTTTTTAAATGGTTTGATTACTGGTATTTGTACATGCAGAAAATCTGATAGAGTCACTGGTTTAAGCAATGATAAAGATACAGAATGAGAACTTGGTGTTGATGCTACGGGTTTACCGATCAGCAGTTTAGCGGAAGCTGAAGTTTTTTATACAAGTATGGGTACTGGTAACGCAGCTGACTTGGTTGCTGGTTTATATAAAGAAAAAAGAATCAAAAACAAGAAAAGGAATTTGGTGGTAATGCCATGGAGTTATTTTTCCACAGTTTAGTGTAAGCTGAAGTTTTGAAATGTTCAAATCCTATTTTAATACCAATTTTGTTAGTATCAATGAAATCAATCTTTTTTAATCAATCTTTCACATGCTTTTTACGCGCTTTTTAATCTGTTGAATGAGCGCTAAAATTTTTTTGTTGAATTGGCGTGTCATTTGAGTTATGTACTTGTACTGTACTCATAGAGTGATTTCAGATAAGTTACACCGTCTGTTCGTCACGCTATCTTATTTTCGGCCGGGTAGATTCGTGCAACTTCTTAGTCTAATACCGATCTTCATCTTACTCTTATATCTCCTAGTCTCAATAGATCTAGTGTACACCGGTTTACGCGAGTTAGTTCCAGATTGAGAACAACTGTTTTCTAAGTTGAATTCAATTTGTTCTGGTGTTGAAACTATAGGTAGTTTCAACACTTTACAAATAAATAGGTTGTTAGTTTTATGGAGTGTGATTCGTTAGTATTTAATATTTTATAGTGTTAAAGTCGTAAGTTTGGAAATTCAAAAGGTTGTTAATAAGTTTTATTATAGGCAAACTGTTAGGCATCAAATCGAAATCTTACTGCACTCTTTTATTTCAGATCCCATCGGACATTAGAGATCGCAAGGTCAAGACAGCAGGTCCCCAGACAGAAAGAAGAATTGATAGCACTTACATACTCAAACTGGTGTCTATCTAGAAGAATTGATAGCACTTACATAAACTCAAAACTGGTCAATATATCATTCGGGCAACCACAAATAAATTTTTGCGTAGATAAAATTTATC